CAGTAAATAGAGAAACTAAATTATTATCTTTGATCCACACTGATTTGGGTGATTTGAAACAAACTATGGCTAGAGGTGGTAAAAGATATTATGTGACTTTTATTGATGATTTTTTCAGATTTACTAAGTTGTATTTGCTTAAAAATAAAGATGATGTGTTTAATGCTTTTATTGCTTATAAGTCTGAGGTTGAAATTCAACTTAGTAGAAAAATAAGAGAATAAGATCTGATAGAGGTGGAGAATATATATCTTTCAATGTTTTTTTGTGAAAAAGAAGTAATTATTCATGAAGTAACCCCGCCTTATTCACCTGAGTCTAATGGAGTAGTTGAAAGAAAAAATAGAACTTTGAAAGAAAAGATGAATCCCATGTTGATTAGTTCAAATGCTCCTGATAATTTATGGGGTGAAGCAATATTATCTGCATGTCACTTACAAAATAGAATTCCTCATAAATGAACTGGTAGAACTCCTTATGAATTGTGGAAAGGTTATTGACCTAATTTGAAATATTTAAAAGTGTGGGGGTGCCTTGCTAAAGTTCTTTTGCCTGAACCTAAAAAGAGAAAATTTGGTTCTAAAACTACTGATTGCATGCTTATTAGATATGTTGAACATAGTGTCGCATATAGATTTGTTTTTTTGAAAAGTGATGAACTTGATTGCAATACTATTATTGAGACAAAGAATACTGAATTTTTTGAACATATTTTTTCACTGTGTGATAAAACTTCTTATGCACATGTTGAAAGAAATAATGAGAATTCCTCTAATATTGAGGAACTGCAAAGGAGAAAAAGGCCCAAAAAGAATATTTTTCTTATGGAAATGATTTTCAAACTTTTCTTGTTGATGATGAACCATTAAATTATTTTGAAACTATATCTTCTTTTGATGCTAAATTCTGGAAAGAGACAATAAAAATTGAAATTGATTCAATTATGAAAAATAAAACATGAATTTTAACTGACTTACCTCCTGGTGCAAAACCTATTGGCTATAAATGGATTTTCAAAAAAATACTGAATCCTAATGGATCTATAGATAAATATAAAGCTCAGTTAGTAGCAAAAGGATTTTCTCAAAAACAAAATATTGATTATTTTAATACATTTGCATCAGTGACTAGATTTTCTTCAATTCGAATTTTAATTGCCTTAGCATCAATTCACAAGCTTTTTATTCACCAAATGGATGTAAAAACAACTTTCTTAATTGGTGATTTAGAAGAAGAAATTTATATGGTTCAACCTGAAGGATGTATTGTTCCTGGACAAGAAAATAAAATTTGTAAGTTAATTAAATCTCTTTATGGCCTAAAACAAGCTCCTAAACAGTGGCATGAAAAATTAGATTAAGTCTTACTGAGAGACAATTATGTATCTGTTGAAGTGGATAAATGTGTTTATACTAAAATGGTAGACAATGATTATGTGATGATATGCTTATATGTTGATGATATGCTTATCTTTGGTACAAGTTTGATAATTGTGAAAAGAACCAAATTATATTTTGTCTACTAATTTTGATATGAAAGATCTGGGTGAAGTAAATATGATTTTGGGATTTAAAGTTATAAGGAGTGAAGATGGTATAAATTTGTCACAATAACATTATGTGGAAAGACTTCTTAAAATGTTTGAACGTTTTGAGGTGACACCTGTAGCCACTCCTTACGATGCTAACTCTCAATTGAAAAATAATTATGGTGACTTAGTTGCTCAGTCTAAATATGCTCAAATTATTGAAAGTTTATTGCATTTAATGAATTTTACTAGGCCTGATATTGCCTATCTATTTGTAGATTGAGTAGATATGCTCATAATCCCAATAATGAGCATTGATTTGCACTGAATAGACTGATGAAATATTTGAGAGGAACCATGAATTATGGTATCATGTATAGTGGATTTCCTTCTATTTTAGAAGAGCATTGTGATGCAACCTGGATCTCTGATTCAGATGAGGCAAAGTCCACTAGTGGATATGTGTTTACCTTAAGTGGTGGTGCAATATCCTGAAAATCAGCTAAACAGCTGATCATTGCTAGATCGATTATGGAGTCAGAGTTTGTAGCTCTGGAGCTGGCTAGTTCTGAGGCTGAATGGCTAAAAAATTTCTTAGCGAATATATTTTTGATAAAGGATAAATTACTAGCTGATCCATTTGATGAAGGATGGATTATTGATCCCTTCGGAAGGATGAATTGTTGATCCCTTCGATGAAGGATGAATTGTTGATCCCTTTGATAAATGATGAATTGTTGATCCCTTTAATAAAGGATGAATTACCAGATGATCCCTTTGATAAAGGATGAATTGTCTCATGTGTTTATACACTAAGATTGTGAATCTGCAATTGTTATTGCGAAGAATAAATCTTACAGTTGTAAGAGCAAACACATGAAATTGAGGCATGATGTCGTTAAGCAATTGCTGAAAGATGGAATAATTGCAATTGATTATGTAAAGTCAGAATTGAATTCGTCTGATTCATTGACTAAATCCGTGGGAAGAAAATTAACTGTTCAGACCTCAATAGAAATGGATTTAAGGCCAATTGATTGTCAATAGAGATGGTAACCCAACCTATGTGATTGGATATCCCATGAAGTAGGTTCTTATTTCCTTTTTAATTTCTTGTTATAAAATTAATTTTTGCCTATATTTTTTATTCATAAACTTCAAAAGTAATTTTCAAAGTTACACAATATCAATCACTAATCCTATTTTTGAACAAATTTAATCTAAGAATGTTATATATCATTACAAAAAAATGAAATAAAATAGGAACAAAGTTTATTTTTATGAATTTAAAAATTGAGTCCACAAAATTACCTTAGAAGAAATCTGTTATATGTACCAAGCTTCTCGATATAGATGAAAAAATATATATTCAATTCAATCAACTTTTCACCTCCTACTACAATTGACTTCTTTATTAGGAGATTTTAATATATATATATATATATATATATGTATTCATCCACCTTCAATTTTATATTTCTTAATTAATTTTATTGATGTGGAGTAATAGTATCAAAGATTAGAGATGAAAAGGCAAAAAATAATATATATGTAAGAGAGTTCTTATTTTCATTTTAATTTCTTGTAATGAAATTAACTTTTACCTATATTTTTGAGTCATAAACTTCAAAACAGTTTCAAAGTTACACAATATCAATTATTAATCATATTCTTGACCCAATTTAATCTAAGAAAATATACATCATAAAAGAAACTGAAATAAAATAGAAGCAGAATTTGTTTTTATGAATTTAAAAATTGAGTGCATAAATTTACCTTAGAAGAAATCCGTTATATGTACCACGCTTCTCGATATAGATGATAGAGCATGAATCATCAATTTTTAACAAATATTGAGCAAAAAAAAGGTAATGAAATAAAAATATAAAACTTTCAACCAATAAGATTAGAAATCTTAGCGTATAAAGAAATTTTATTGAGAATAAAACACATATAAATAAGTGTAATTAAGATAAATATTCATCAATACATCATCTCATTAGATGAATTGCTACAATATACAAAAATTAAAATACATTGATAATTATGTTGGAGCATTTCTCAAGCACAACTAACCTAAAATGGTTGATACATAAATGCATAGTTTGGTAGTGAAATATATATATATATATATATATAGGAGAGGAAAAAACGACACGTGTCAGCACCACAATTATTCTTGAATTTTATTATTTTTAATTATTTTAAATATTAAATTCAAATT